CTCGAGAACATATACGTTAACAACACTGATACTGAGCATGGTCCTGGGTTCAATTACTCCCTCATCGTCAATGTAAGCTCGGAGTCGCTTATTATCCAGGCTCAAAGTCTTGACGATCCCGCAGACAGACGGTGCAGACACTGTTTATGCTAACAACATCACTTTCCGTGGCTGGACAGTTGAAAACGGCGATGATTCGATCGCTATGAAAGCAAACAGCACAAATATCTTGATCGAAAACTGCAATTTCTATACAGGACTCGGAGTTGCTATCGGTAGCATCGGTCAATACGGTGCGTCTGGTTTTCCGGTTGCTTCTCTCTTTTGTCTGAGCCACTTTTGACTGTCATCTCTTCAGAGGGCGCCTTCGAGACAATCCAAAACGTTACTGCCCGTAACATTTCTATTGGCCCCGGCATGCCCTTTGGCGCATACGTCAAAACATGGACGGGCATCTCCACCGGTTCCCCGCCCAACGGCGGAGGCGGAGGTCTCGGTTTCGCCTCCAACATCACCTTCACTGACTTCACCCTGCACAATGCCACCGGTATCTTCCTCATCACCCAATGCACATCGTACAACGGCGTGACAGGAATGTGCGACACGTCCAAGTTCAATCTACGAGATATCAGGTTGAAGAGGTGGAGAGGGACCGCGAGTAGTGCCGTCGTGGGGAGTATGCAGTGTAGTGCGGCGAGTCCGTGTACGGGGATTGAGATTGAGGATGTGGAGGATGGGATTGTGGATCCTGTGAATGGGACTAGGCCGGTGAATTATTTGTGTGATAGTGTGGTGGATCCTGTTGGGTTTAACTGCACGGGTCCGCCGTGGATGGAAAGTAACAGACGCTGAATGGTGTTCTGGTGAGTTACAACGCGCATCATCGCACCGAGACCGTACTTGTTCACCATTTGTCCTGAAAAATTTGCGGTAAAATTGATTAGGTCAAAGTCCTTTCGAAGGAAGGAGTTGTCGTCTTTCCAATGTAATGAAAAATCGATACGCGAATTTAACTTGCACCAGCTTGAACAAGAAATGCCTATTACCCTACTCGACAGTAATACGCAGTTGTTACATCGGTAATGTCAAACAATTCTTCTATTCATCCTGGAGAAATTTCGATCTATGATACGACGCTGATCTTTGAATCAACAAATGATTCATGATTCGACAACGACGAACAACGGTTTAATACTGTGTTAACGGACAGGTAAGTATAGAAGTAAACAGAAAATAATTTTATATACCCAAACAATGACCAAAATTTATTTTGACAAAGAAACATTGAGTTAAGCGGGGATTCCCTATCAGGAATGAGGTGCAAGAGGGTGCAAGAGGATGTAGGGAGGAGGAAGCGAGGAGAGTGGGTAGGTGCAAAGGAGGTTGTAACAGAGGAGGAGGAGGGAAGAGAACAGCAGGAAACGAATCTGACTGAAGAAGTCTAAGCAGGGGCGGTTTCAAACCAAAAAGAAGCACGACAAAAGTGTGGGACGGAGGAGAGGAAAATCGAAATGAAATCAAGCGTAAACAATGAAATCCCTCTTTTCGTCTTCCTCCTCTCGTGCTTCACCCCAATACTGACTGAGATCGAACCAGCCTCCATGAGCATGTCCATGTCTATGGGCAGTACTGAATCCAGAAACTCCATGCCCATGTCCATGTCCATGGCCACTTCCAAGCGCTGAAGAAGGCACCGAGTAGTCATGATCGCCTCCTTCCTTCATCCCATCCACACCATCCAACTCATCCACCGACCCATTCATCTCATTCAACCCATCCTTGATTTCTTCACCACCAATTCCACTCAACTCACCCAACAAATACGAAGCCGTATTCGGACCCATATTCGTACTCGCGTCCTGGACAGAAAAATCCAGATACGGCCTCCTAGACGTCTGGGCCATCCGGTGGGTGACAAGGTGGGTGAGCATCACGAAGAGGATGAGGAAGAGAATAAGAAGCGTCCGGGCGGTTTGGGCGCGAAGTCCTAGTGGGGCGCGGTTGGATTCGGTGTTGGCCGCGACAGAGGCTTTGGTCCATCTAAGGTAGAGGTAGAGTCGTTCAGACGCGTTGAAAGGCATTAACAACGACTACATAGTAGCAACTACTCACTGCAGCCTAGCTCCAAGCCTCTCCAAGAACCCAGGTTCCTTCGGTGGCGCGAGGAACGCGATACTGTAGTCGTGCGTGGACGAAGGCGAAGAAGGCGTCACGATGATCGCTGGCAACGGTGACTTTTCGGTCAGGAGCGGTAGAGATAGGTCTGTCATGGAGCAGAGAAAGCAAGAGTTAATGATGTGTTCAGCCGTGAAACAGGTAGAGAGTATTTATTGACGGGGGTGGCGGTGACCTACCGAGAGGTGCTGGAATGAGTGTATAATCCAGGCGCTGCGGTAAGCGGTGAAGACGAGGTGCTAAAAGTCACAGCATCAGCTCTGTGTTAGCTTTGGGTTAGATGAGAATAATGCGATGGTGTAGTTACCAGGTTGACGAGGCATATTGTCTTCGAAAGTAGTAGTAGTCTATGGTGGTTGAGAGTTGAGATCAAGGAGTCCAAAAGCCGTTTAAAAGCGCGCAATTTAGGCTCGTTGAAGAAGCTAACGAAGTCTCTACAACAACAATGATTTGTTTTGTAGATGTGTGAGTGTGTATGTGAGCTACAAGGCAGAAACCCTATAGTCAAAGCCGGATCAAAGAACGTAGATTGTGCAAAAGAGCGTGTGGTGAAGCTAGCGACGATAGGTCGAGATGAGGGAGTCGAAGGAGGTCTGTTGGAGAGAAGAGGTCCAAAAGACGACTGAGGACTGTGGGTGAGAGAGAGAAAGAATAAATCAGAGAAAAGGAACGAGCTTACGAAGGCTTACGACGGGAGAAATTGAGCTGAGAATTTTGGAAACGATGGGAACATTCGATCAATTGATTTACGTAATGGTTTTTTACCCACAAAGGCACCGAGAAAATTCCAAAAATTCCCAGTACTACTTCAAGTACACCAACTACAACAACTGTGTACCGTAGACTACAGACTACGCTTATCCCCCAACAACCCAACCAAACTCCTCCCTAAACACCCCCTCTGCCTCTCCAAGCATCCTACAAACCTTCACAACCTTCTCATCCGACACATTCGCGACAGAAAACCGAATGTATCTGTCTAGCTCATTCAACTTTGACAATGAGTCTGACAAGCCTGAGTTCAACTCCGGCTGGGATTTCATAGAAGAAAAAGAACTTGTTCCCGTTCCCGTTATATCCAGGTCTTTGTCAAAGAAAAATGACCCGGGTAAAACTCTGACTCCGACCTCTTCGACAAGTTTTTGGCAAACGTCCTCGCTTGATTGTGAGGGGAAAGGATGTTGGACGAATGCGTAGTATGCGCCTGCGAAAGAAACAAAGAGGAAGTGTGAGCCTTAGGGATGGTTTCAAATGAAAGTCACCCCGAACGAGGCGAAGAAAAAGTACACCAAGGCATTAAGGGTCAAACTCATATGTAGCACTTACCTTGACTAACAACCTTCCAATTCGGCGCTTCCTTCTCCAATGTATCCTTAAAAAGTCTCTGTCGGGCGTGTATCGCCAGTGAGGTGGATAATATATCAGATTTAAGAGCAGCAAGAACCGAAGTCGTCTCCTCCACTTCTTTCTCCAACGACGAAGTTGACTTCAAAGACGATACCGCTATCATTGATTCTTGTAAGGAAACATCGTGACCACTGAGCGCCGAGTCCAATTTCACCTCAGACTCAGGAGGCTCTCCCGGTGTACCAGGCGTAGTCAAAGGTGGCGATCGCAACTGTCCTTGGCCTTGTGAACCTTGTGCACCAACGACCTCGACAGATCCATCTGCATCCACAAACTCCTTCGCAAGTGCCAACTGTGGAACCCTCGGCGCACAGATCTGCAACGTATCCAACACCTTGCCTATCTCTTTCAACAACTCTGGCGACGCGGTGATCGCACCAAGACGATGGCCCGGGATTCGATAGGATTTGGAGAAGGAGTAGAGGGATATTAGAGTCGAACGCCAGGGAAGGTGTTTATCGATGTCATCTGAAGCTATTAACCCCCCACTTCGATCCTCTGACTCTGCCTCTGACTCGGAATCAGTGGTATCAAAGAGCCCATGCGGTCTTTCCGAAATGGTATCCGATAAGTCATCAGAGCCAACGATGAAATCCCTGTACGTCTCATCCAAAACCAGAGCCAAACCATTCTCCTTCGCGAGCTCTGCGAATTGTGCGATCAAACTAGGAGGATATACGGCTCCTGTTGGATTGTTTGGTGTTACGAGGGCAATCGCGCGGGTCTTTGACGTGATCAACGTCGACGCGAGAGTTGGGGAAGGAAGGAACGATGATTCCGGGGACGTGATCAGTGGAACGGGTGTTATGCCTAGCAGAGTTAGTGTCATTCTGCGAAGAGCAAAGTTTCAGCTTGGTTGATATATAGTATAGCTATAGAACAGCACGATCCACTTACTGATGATTGAAATACCACGGCACAGGAAGAATCACCTCATCACCCGCGTCAGCGATAGCCATGATCGTGGCTACAAACGCAAGGTTGCATCCAGAGGTTATAGCGATATCTTCTGGTGATATATCCACCTTTCTCTTTCCATGCCCATAGTAAATACCTCTCATCTCTCTTGCAAGCACCTCTCTCAGCTTCCATTCACCTTCAGCAGGACAATATCCCCACGCATCTGAACGAGCACTCGTCTCACGCAGGGACTGTTGGAGGATAGGATGTGGGACGGTGCCTGGTACGCCCTGGGACATGTCTAGTACCTCTAGGTTGGGACTCGTGCGTGTAGATTTTGACTTTGGGATCCATTTATACGCTGTTGGGATGGGTGGGGAGATTGTGGATAGGATGGATTTTGAGAATTTGAAAGAGAGTGGCATTTTTGGTGGGAGATTGTTGTTTGCATTTGTATACGTTGTGAACCCTATCAGTCTGAGTCTGTCATATTTGTCCCGTTGTGCAGTATAGACATCGACCCCGTAGCTCAGTGGTAGAGCGTGAGATTCCAGTTGATTACTGCTGTATTTGGAATTTCCTCAAGGTCATCCGTTCAATCCGGGTCGGGGTCATTCCATAAGGTCCATTTGTCTGTTTTTTTTTTTCATTTGCGACGAACGACCTTCGCCTTAGGGCTGAGTCGTGATCTTCATTCACTATCGTTGAGCTAGGCTGTGGAGACGTCAGTATCTTTTGATTTACTCCCAGTGGTTATACAAGGTTCCATTCCAACTTTCAAGTAGTAGTAATACACCTCCGGTCCTCCGCCTAATAATTTACTACTATATTTATGTCGTCTTCTCAGATTAGGAATACACAAACATCATCATCGCATCGACGATGAATCCCTTCAAGTCAAAGGATTCTTACAGCTACTTATGATATGTGTTTTTTTCAAGGTATGATGGGACAGGGGTCGGACTACTTACTACTATCAGTGTGACCGTAGAGGACAAAGAGGGACAAAGTCATCATTCAGTCTTTGTTTTTCAAAATATTGACGAAAACGAAAGACAAAAAAATCTAGATACCTTCGTTCTGAAGCCACAGACTGGCACCGTAGCATAAGGGGATACGATAATGGGGGCATACCAGAACAGACCAAACGGTGAGCTCTACAGAGATGAAAGAAAAATCCACTTTCCGCGCCGCATTGTCCTTTCTACATACTCACGCGATTATGATGTGTCAGGTAACCTACCTTCTCCTGCAGCATGCAGTTATAGCCAGTTATTCAAACTTCAAAGGACGTATCGATTGATGAACAAATGTTTGACAAGGAAATCAGAATAGAACAAAGGCCAGCGTAATGTGACGATTGCATTTTCAACTTCACATTTCAGTTGCAATCCTGACGGTCTGACCTCCCATGTCCCCATCTTTTTCCTGAGAAAAGGGACATTTCATTTCCGTACATCCCAGCGACGATGGTAACACAGTCAAACGAAGCAAAATCCAATCACGATTCGGGATAATTTTGAAGGACAGGTATGTGGTTTTTGCCTTTAAAAGCACAGACTGGCACAGGCGAATGCGATATTGGGGGCATACCAGAACAGAATGAAGAGTAAATTCTGCAGAGATGAACAGATCGACTTTCCGCGTTCACCTTTCTAGCTATTCACGCGATTATGATGTGTCAGGTAACCTGCCTGCTCCTGCATGTAGATAATTGATTGACAATCGATTGACAAGGAAATCAGAATAGAACAAAAGTCAGCGTAATGTGGGGAGGACGAGAAAGATCATGGCGATCGAAATTCATCGGGAAGGAGAGGAAAGGATCAGGACAAAAACCTACATTGACGGGAAGACAAGACAGACCGGCTTACGAACCCTGTTGTAATGGACTGCATTGATACGGGGGCTCTAGCAGCGCATCGTTGTGAGAGAGCGAACAACTGGACCAGCTCTAGAAATCCAGAACCAACACTTGGCTCGCCATATAACTGGTACTAGTACTTACTTTGGACAAGTGTGACATAACTCCTAACCGCGAACCATTGGAGTCCAGGCAAGCCGCAGAATTGATAAAAACGGGTGGATTGACGTTGCGAATGGACTTTAACCTTTCGATTCCATCTACTTCAACCATACTTACTTTCTCGAAAATGAGGCTGAGCCAGACTAGGCTTTCTTCAAAGTCCGAGACGTCGAGGTCTTCTGCATGAAACGGACGCAATTCCATCCTACCTGACATGTTCTATTCTGGAGTCTACCCAGTTGCATATATCTTGATTTGGGTGTTCTTCTAGCCTCGAGGTTGATGGCTTCACAGGAGGTTCATGTGCAAGGACTTTGTCATTGGTCACCTGGTAATTCTCCGTGAGAAACTCGGAGGTTGTTTGTCTATCTTTGTTTGTCTTCGCGGTCTCAGTTGGCTTACATACGCAGCATATATACAAAGGTACAGAACGACGTCAGCCTTCGTCATAACTCCCATCCTCTCCTTTTTTTTCCAAACGCCTAGACTCAACGTCACTACACTCAGCGAAGAGAGAGTGCGTCACTTTCTATTCAAGGTGAGTTCTCGATTCCGACAATTATCGCTTAGATTTTTTAAACTGCAAAGTGGGAGTCTTGCTCAACGTTTAGAACGATGACGACACCACTTAATTCATTTTGATCTTCGTTGAGCTTGTTGAGCTTGTCATCGTTTCCGTTGTTGTCATTGTTGTCGTCGAATAATTATCTGCTCTACGTTATGGTGCTGCATGTGCAGGTGCAATGAGGATGCGTGCGATGATAACAACAACAATATTATCTCTCATCTCACTCTTCGATGGAATCAATCGTGCAGAGACTAACTCGCGTTGCAGACCAACCTTCCTGAGCTTCGCTTACCATGGTCCAAAAACCAAAGAGTACAACGGCCTCACCCCCTCCATCTACCTCTTCGTCTTCATCAAAACAGCCACCATCCATGCAGCGTCAAAATCGTTCTGACTTTGACCTCGAACCGAATCCTTTCGAACAAAGTTTCGCACCGAGATCAGCTAACCACTCCAACGTTCGAGGCGAACGAGTAGGGAAGGATAAACCTGAGAGAAACATTAAAGACAGCAAGCGAGAACAAGATCTCGGTCCTCTCTCGAACGAATCAATATCTAAATCAAACTCATCAGTTGACCGCGATGCTGCAGACGACCGCGAGCACCATTCGCACAGCCGGACTGCATCTCGCGCTTCCGGTGGGTCTAATTCCAATGGCAGTCTTTCACCACGACCTATGCTTCCTCCACTCGCTGCCATAAACTCACCCGCTGACCAATCAACTCCGTTTGGCCATCCTTGGACTGCAGCCGGGTTCAATTCGAGTCTTAGAAGTGGTCCCTTGAGCCCTGCTATGCTTACAGGGCCGCAGGATCCCAATGCACCCTCATCTAACCTTTCCAATCCCCTATCAACTCTCGCCCCTTCAGGACTTCAATTTGATCCTTCTTCTTTCCGTACCGGTCTCACTCCACGTACCGGTCTTACTCCCAGAACGGGATTGACTCCGGCGTTGAATGGCTTGAGTGGTGGCACGGGCCTTACACCACTTGTCGGAGGACCTGTGTCCTTCCCTGCCTCTCCCGGTACTGCTGCGTTTCTTGCGCTGATGCATAACGGCGGTATGAACAATTTGAATGGTGTCAACACCATGGGTCCAGGTGGAACTATCACACCCAACACACTCAGCGCCATCACCGGAGTCCTGAACAATCCTCAAAACCAGGGCCAGGCCCAATCAGGCCAAGGCCAGCAGAACCAATACACCAACCCACCTACTGTTCCTTCCCATCTCCATCACTCGCACACTCACACCAACAACGAAAACGCTAATCCCCATAGCTCCGCATATCTCGAGAGCGCTAACAGCGCCGCTTCGACAGCGGCCAATGGTCTCTTTCTCCTAAGTCAAGCACATCAGGAGCTCACGAAAAGAGAGGAAGAACAAGCCAGAGCTAACTCTGCACAAGCACATGGCAACGGTGTCAACGGGAACACCAATGGTGCAGTCGGGAAGCGTGGCACGAAACGAAAAAATTCCGAAGCCAGCAATGGCAACGTCGGTACCCGGTCATCGAAGCGAAACAAGTCCACAGGTGGTAGACGAAAGCAAGCGAGTCCGGAGTATGATGAGTTTGAGGGCATGGATGATGGAGACGAGGACGAGGAGGAAAGCGTGAAGGAGGTTCCTCAACAGATTACGACGGCAGGGAGAGGAAGAAACAAGAAGCCAGAGACAGAGGAAGAGAAGAGGAAGAATTTCTTGGAGAGGAACCGGCAAGGTAAGCATGAACGCTTCTTTGACGTAGATGGCGTCTCCGTCCTTATCGTTATATGAAAACATTTGCTCATCCTCAACTCAGCTGCACTCAAATGTCGTCAACGGAAAAAAGCCTGGCTGGCTCAACTGCAAGCCAAAGTCGAATACCTCACACAAGAAAACGAACGGTTGACGTCCGCGCTTGTGTCTTCGAGAGAAGAAATATCCCGTCTGTCGGCACTAGTGGGTGGAGCCGGTATAAGCGGTGTGGGTGTAGGAGGCGCACCTGTGGCTGCAGGAGCAGGCTTGATAAACCTAGGTAAGCGGCGCTTCTCGCGATTTAGAAGTGCTCGGTGGACTTGAAATAAACTGATTTTTACCTTATCAAGGTGCTGTACCCTCTGTGTCTCAAGCTGCAGGACAGGGTGTCCCAATCAGTATGGGCATGTCTGCTTCTGGCAAGGTCGGAGGACCCATCGCTCAGGCTGTCAGCGCGGGGACTGCCAAGCAGACAGGCGGGTATGGGTATTGATGACGCACACCAACCTCCCTGGCACATCCAGGTTCACGGCTCGTAGAGTTTCTTCTATCTTCAATCATCACTGTCACAAATAACCTGCCCTCATCACAACCCCCTCATGCCCCTCTTCCCGAAATTCCTCTTGTTCTGTTCATCAGGCTTCATCAGGCTTCTTCATTCCTATGTTCAGGCTGTCCATGAAACGTCCCCCTTGATTATACACGGTGATACACGATCGATGTCCGCTTCTTATATGCAGTGTCTCTTTTTCCTGTCCACAACGCTGTCGTAACTCTTCAGCAGTTGTTGGGTCTCACGAGTTGGGTTTCTGGTGTTTTTTATGATCTTCTCTTTCTTATTCTCCAAGCTTCACGCTTCGAGATGGGTGAATATGCGATATGCGATCAATATGTTTGTTGATACACGGACGTGGTCTTTTTTGTGTTTCTTGGCCTTTGACTCCCTTTTCCTGCTTCTTTTTCCTCTTTCTCATGATCACAGTAGAGTAAAATATGAACGCTTTACTCGTCCCCATCCCCTCTCCTCTCTTACTCCCGAGATGTCTCTTTGTAGTTTGTGTAGTTTTAACCGATCGTCCTGATATGCCTCGGACACACTGTTTTTCTGCGAAAAATCCGAAAATGTGTATGTAGTATTTTACAAGAAATTATAAGTAGTGACAGAATTATTATCGACATTATTACTGCGTATAAGAGAGCGTCGAGCAAGGGTCAGTTGTAGCTTCAACCGCTGGCAAAGCAAAGCAGGAATGCGAAGTACATAAATTGAATTGTACAGGAGACGATACTAAGCTGGTAAACCGAACCTCCTCATCCCATTGTACTCATCTTACCCACTACTTTCAAGTTCCTCAACTTCCTGTATCCTCCCCTCAAGCAAACCAGCAAACGTATCCAATCCCAACAACACTCCAACGTCAAGCCCTTGCCCGGGAACGAAACGGGTATGTGCGAAATCAATAAGAGAAATAGTATACGGAGCAGACGGCTTTCGCTTTGGTTTCTCGCGAGAAGGCTGCGAGGGTTTGGAGAATTGTTGTCGTGAGCCGTTCGAGTTGGAATTCTTCTTCGAGGCTTCGGATGGGTCAGGATATGATGTATCGTCGAAAGCTTCGTCTTGGTCTTCTTCTTCTTCACTGGTCGTGTCTTGGTCTTCTTCATCATCCTCGCTATAATACTCCTCGTCATCCTCATCCCCAGAACCTCGCTCCATCCTCTCCCTGATCATCCTCTCCTTCTCCCTCATCCACTCAACACCCTCCTGTGCCCTCTCCTGATCGCCTTCCCAGACGACTAACAAGCTCCCTCCGACCATGCGGATCTCGATCTCCTTCATGATCGTATGGAGGTGCTTGACGGAGGTATGGATTGCGTGTAAGATCGGGAGTAGAGTGGAGGAAGGGAGACCGAGGTCTGTGCGAGGTAAAGGTGGGGTTTTTGGCACGTCGAATGCGGAGCTTGGGATATCTAAGAAGGACGAGGAGGTGGGGGCAATTGGGAGTCCACCGAATATTGGGGTGACTGAGCCGGATGTAGAGGTGGATCCACTGAGTGTAGGTGGAACAGAGAGTGAAATTGATTCTCCGAGAACGGGGAAGACTCTCCTGATCCCTTCGGGAAGTTGTTCTTTTTGAAGAGATTTACCGTATGCTTTGGTGGTGATAACTGGTGCTAGTGAGGTTGCATCTGAGATGGAGACAGATGGTTGAGGATGGACCTGTGATGTACATACATCAAGATCAAGTTGATTAATTATACAGTAATAGAATGAGAACCAAGGAACGATCGAAAACATCAAAACGGAACATTGACAAAACCCACTCACTTGAAAACCGGTCAACCGTACGCCGCATTCACCACTCGTCGTCTCTCTCGCTGTTTGGAGCATCCTGGCCTTCTTGTCTTCGGTACAAGATGAATCAAGTGCATCGTACAACACAGTGCCGAGCTTGAGATCGAGAATGTTGGGTTTGTGGAAAGGATGGAGGAGATTCGAGAGGACTAGGAGTTGCTTGGGAGGTATTTCTTCATCCGATAGATTGAGATGAGGGCCTTCGTTGTTGGCGTTGGCGTTTAGAGAATCGACATCGATACTGCCTTCCGTCAGTGTCCCATAGAATTGCGGTACGAATCTGCTGAGTCGTTTGAGATTTCCTAGAGCGCGTATGGTGTGTTCGTCTAGTGTAGTAGTCGTAGTAGTCATAGTCGTAGCGTCGCCTCTGAGGGCTTCTGATGCCCTCATCGTGTCCATAGCCCGGGCCTGTTCCATCATGGAATAGAACTCATACTCTAATGGTAAACATGGTTTGATCAGAAGTGATCCATCTTCGTTGGGATGGATAGAATCTGTATGTCCTCCTACTTGAGAGAAAGACGAGGACATGGTAGGTGATGAAATTTGGAAAGTGAGGGTTGTAGTTGAAATGTGAAGAAGAACAATCGCGAGGATTTCGAGACAGACTCTGTGACGTTGGGTTGGGATTTAAAGATCAACAATTGCGAAGACCATAGAGATAACACAAGGGACGAAGGAAGAGATACATTGTAAGCTGGACAGTCGGAAAACAAAAAGCAAATTTCCGACAACCTGTGAATATGACCCCGACCCGGATTGAACGGATGACCTTGAGGAAACACCAGTTTAACTGGAATCTCACGCTCTACCACTGAGCTACGGGGTCTTGTTGAAACAGCTCTACACCGTCAACTCATTCTGTAATGAGCAATGCTGTAGACGAAATCATGCATAGCGAAACACAACGACAGCGAAAACACCGAGAGTATTATACATACACAACGAGATATGCAGGAAAGCAAGTTCAAACAAATCGAAAACAAATCAGAGATTATAAAAAAACCGGGGAATCATATATAAAGTATACAGGACATATCCAGAGAGTTATGGAGAAATTTATAGGAGAGTTCTCAAAGGAATGAGGGGGGTACCCATAGGAAAACATACCCAGAATCAAGATTAGAGAAGGGAAAAGAGGAGACATAACACTCATGTGGCCGCGTCACGATGGGAAGCCAATCAACTGGTGATCACTTTCTAGTCGGAGTCCTCGACGTAACGCTTCACCATCCCAATTAATCCAAACGTGCCCGCTTCTGCTTTCCATGCTGCTTGACATCCCCATCCCCATCCTCCCCCTCCTCATCTTCTCCATGACCACGCACCGAGAACCCGAGTCCCTCAAGCCCACCATACACCAAATCCGACACCTTCCTCGTCTTCCTCACACTACCCTCACTCACATTCCGCCCTATCCCTCCGGAGGGCGTACGATACGCATACCCAATCGAATCCGCCCCGCTCAAACTCATACCCAACATCTTTCGTTTATCCGAGACAGAGGTCGGACACGTCAGCGTGGATGCCAGTCCGAGTTGTTGTTGGCCTAGTTGTTTCTTTCTAGGTGAACGACGCAAGACTCCTTTGACCATTTTGGATACTCCGAATTCATCTACGTCTGCGCGGCCGGAGCCCGCTTCCGCCTCAACGTCTTCGTCGATGTTTCCTAGATCTTGACCGAACCCGTGTCCATATCCATGTCCGTGTCCATGTCCATGTGTGGTCTTCGACGAGAGCGAAGGGTTCACGAAAACGTAGTCCAGATCAGAATGATCTCCAGGCTCCTGACTGACACTACGCTTCCGTTTTGAGCCTGAGCGCTGAGTCTCTGAATCATCCAAAACCGAGTTCGAGTTCTCCTTACTTCTCTCATCGTGTCGAGATGAATATGAATAAGAGGCCGAACGAGACGACCGGTGAGTCTTGGACGACTTGGGCTTGGGCTTTTCTTCTGTTTCTCGTGGGTGCTGTCTTTTTGGAGTAGGGACATAGTTCTTCCCATTCTTGACAGCCCAGTCAACGTCAATGATCCTAATTGTCAAAGAAAAAAACAACAATCCTGAAATTAGAGGAACCAAAAAACCAACGCGGAAGACATACCGCTCCCTCAACCTTGTATTGTCTGGCACAAACAATGCAGCATGTCGATAAAGCGAAAGCGCCGTCGCGAGATCATTCCTTCAAAGGACAAAATGTAAATCAGCGCCGTCGTCTCAGAAAAGAAAAAGAAACGCTAAAAGGGCTGACTTACTTCGCAGTATACCCCCTAGCAAGATCCACATATATCTTTCCCATCTTCTTCCTCTCAGCAACCGACATCAACTCGACCGCTTTTGGATCCTCGTTTGAGCTCAACAATCCTTCAGCTGCAGCCGTAAGAGAAGGCCCAGGTTCATTGCCCAAACTCAAACCATGCGCAGAAGATGAGAGCGACAACGACTCCGCCGTCGGTGTTGGTTCCGATCTTGATACTGACAAGGATGAGGAGGAGGAAGTTGACGCTGTGAACATTGAGGAAGAGCCTTCAGCAGCACTGGGCCCCGCAGAAGCAGAAGTTGAGGCGGATGCAGATGAAGAAGCAACACTAGCCAACTGGGCTTCCAAGTGAGCGATATGTTCTTTATACTTCCTCTCTAATTCGTCCATCTTCTTCTTCTTCTCCTTGTCATCCTCTTGGTCGTCCTGATGTGCGCTCCGGGGTATCGGTTGGACCTCGTAGTCGACCGAGTCCACTTTCATTGGCGAAGAATCTGAGGTGTGATGCCCAACTCCGAGATGCCCCTCGTCAACTTCCATCGCTTCAACGTCTCGCAACTCCGTCTCAACCTCCGCTTCTTCCACTCCAACTTCTATGATTTCTTCGTCTCGAGTATCCTGGTCTACGACTGGGTTCATATTCATGTCCACACTTGTGGGATCTAGGCCATGAGATGTCGACGAAGACGAATTCGAAGGCGTAACACGCTGTTGTGCTTCCTGTATCTTCTTCTCCCTCTCCTCCTCCTCTAACCTCCTCTGCGCCTCTTTCTCTTCCAACCTTCTCTTCACTTCCGCCTCAACGGCCTTATTGATCCTTTCATTCAGATCTGCATCGTCGATACCACTCCCTCTGCCTGCGATGCTTCCAACCCCATTACCACCCAGTCCAAACCCACTCAATCTTGAGTGGCCGCCAGCTCCATATGAGGGTATCCTTGACCCAGGGGCTGGGATATGTGATGTAGACACACGTCGACTCTGTATCGACGTTCTTCTTGTAAGACCTGTTGATGCAACTGCTTCCTTTTCTCTAACAGGCTCGACAGGCGCCGGCTTCTCTCGCTCGTTCACAACGGTCTTGGTTTCAATGTTTTTCGTCCTCGAAGCAAAGCTTGATTCGAACGGTCAGCAAACAAATCGTGAAGAAGATTGAGGGCAAACTCATAGTCATTCATGTACTCACTTTAATGTATTCAGCACGTCCGAGCGAAACTTGACGCCCGGTGCAAGATTGCACAGTAATATTGTCTTTCCCAGAGCTTTGCCTCCTAGTGAAGCAGAGAGCAGCCGAGTCAGGTTGGAATCACGATAAGGTATCCGGGACTAATAGGAACAGACAGTGAGCACAGAGAACAAAGCAGAGGCAGGTACATGTCAAAAGAGCATTTCATCGAAGACGTTGAAGAGCGAGACGTACAGCACCAGTATTAAGGGCATGTACAACCTGCCCGAGCGTCGAAAGAGACTTGTTGATTGCTGCCGATTCCGCGAGACGAGTGGGATTAGCGAGCGAATTTCCCGTATGCTAGAAATCAAGATAGGTAAGTTCATACCGCATGAGGCCCATACTATTCGGTGCACCTTGTTATTCTCTGATCCGGCCAAGTCAACCAGGTTTATCTTGCCATTGTACGCTATTGAAGATATTAAAAAAAGCTATCATGGACGAATCACCAATGAATGTACTCATTTCTCTGGTGTCGCAGGTTGGTGCAGTGACGACTTCGATTTCGATTGACAACATGGCATGCGAGCGGGAAGAAGCACGGTTGAGAAGCGTAGCGCCTGTCGTGCGATTTTGGGAGGCCGTACTTCAAGGAAGACACGTAGGCAAGGGGAAAGGTTGACATAGACGACGAGACGTACCGAAATACATTCTTCCAGTCTTCAAATGACTTGATAGGAACTCTCGTCAATCCCACTACAAACGTCTCGCCTTTTGCATTCGTCCTAATCGGCAGCTTCTCGTGGGCACGCTGTGACACCAGCAAGTCGAACGCATCGTCCTTGTACAGTTCCAAGTAACTCATATGAACCTCGAAACTCGCGATTCTCCCACTATCTTTGCCTTCCTCGCTCATATCAAACAGCACCCTGACCGATCTCGGTATTATACCAGGCTCGCTAGACGATCCTTCCATGGTATGGGTTTTGCCAGACGATGTCGGCCCATAAGCGAGGATGGTTAACGTGTGTCCTTTCAACAAAGGCGGTAGATGTGGTGATACAGCCGTGTCGAAGAGTTGTAGTTGGGTAGTCTCTGGACCAAATGCCGTATGGAAGGCTGTTTGTGAGTTTTGGATCTGGGTTGTGCCAGTCTTCATTCCAGTGGAGGAAACCGAAACCCAGGACGTGAACGGAATCGGACGGGCAGCAGTCAAATTATGGCCAGCGGGAATAGGGACGATAGAGATAGCATCGTCAGTTTGTTCGTTGAGTAGAGGAGGACGTATGCGAGCAACGATCTGTACAGGTTGTGTACTCATCGTTGGGCATGTACTTAGGTTGCAGCTTCAAGTTGAACTCGATGATTTTCGAACTAGCTCGACCATGTGATCGTGGCTCTATGTCACGTTTCTCACGGTGCCTTTTATTTGGCGCCCATACTCGAACTCCATCATTCTTCCGCTCCCAGCACAAGTTGAGCACAAGCGTCTGGCTCTCCAAATACTCTAACCCTGCCTGCACACGATACGCATAATTGAAGAAGAATATGCGTGGTAACGCAATTAAGAAAACTGACAGTCCTCGCTCTCAAGATGTCTACGGTTTCCCGAAATTATAGTAACGTCGACCTCTCAAGAAACTGTCTGATATCTCCAGCTCCCCCAACTCTGTCGGTAAGCCTCTGTTCTTTTCCTAGTGCCTCGCTGGTTCAATCATCATGCTCATGCAGTGCATCTTACTACCCTAGTTAATGTCCAATATGGGCCCTCAATCTCATATGTCCTGTTGAACTCTTTTGAATACATCAGCCTGCACAACGAAGCCTCGGAATGCCTCGCTGTCTGAACAGAATATGGAATTCATCATCTCATAGGACGAGGCCACTCGTTCTTGGATCATACCAGATTCCTCATCACAGTACCTTGACTGAGGTCGCGCCTATCTGCTCTGGATCCACGATGGCTTCCATCAAGATCTTGGGATAGTTGCAGAACCACCGTCTAGGCTGCGATTGATGGACGAAGACAAATGAAGATAGGTAAGACTACGCTTACAATGTATCGCATTAATCATTGAGCTACAGTCAGGCCATCAGTCCGTCATGGCAGAAGATTCGTAAGTTCTGGTCGCTCTCTTCATGTGGATCTTTTGATATTCAAGTAGGAATTCCAACACAACTTCTGTTCTCTGAATCGTCTATCAATCCACCCCACCGTGGAGTCGTCCTAAACTTTCCTGTGCTTCTCTGTAATCACCTCAATCTTCCATTGTCGATGACTTAGGGTGCTGAACTGATTGACAAACTTACCCTCGTTCAAAATCGTCTCCATCGCAGTTACGCCTCCGTTTGCACTCCGGGGGAGCAACATAGAAGTCACGCAATAGCCTTTAGACGACATA